CCAGTCGCAAAATTCATTTAAAATTTTAGCACTTCCAAACTTTCTTAAATTTGTAAATTCTTCATGTACATAACCTAAAATCTCCAGAATATCTGTAATTTTAAAAATGTCCGGATACCACTAAAATTCTAGAACTTCCAAAGTCTTTTGAATGTCCACAACATCCAAAAATCTCAGAAAAATCCACTATCTCTAGAGTAATTAAAATCGTCAAACTCTACAGAACGCTCAAAATATCTAAAATTTCAAAAATTAGGAGTTGAATCCCTACAAAATCTTTAAAGTCTTTGGAATGTTCAGATTTTCAGAATCTCTGAAATTCTAGAAAAGCTCTAGATTTCGGATTTCGATGTGTCTAAAATTCAAAAACCTTCTAACTTTTTGTAAATATCAATCTATTTAAATTTCTAACATGCTAGGAAACGTTTAAATCTTTTAAACATATATTGTATCTCTGGTACATTAACCAGAATATAATATACTAAAATTAATAATAGACGAAGAAAAAAATAGAATGAGAATTATTCTAGTGTTGTAAAATTCTAGTTTGTCCAAAATTTGCAACATATTCAGAATTTTTGAAATTTCTAACATCTCTAAAATTTACAACACGTCTACAGACTCCCTAATCTTGAAAATCTTTAAGTTGTAAAACCTTTAGACTTCGTTCAATTTTAAAATATCTAAAATTTTCCGATCCTATAAAATTTTAGAATCTCTAGATTTCTAAAATCTTTGAAATATGGAAGATATCTAAAATTTCTTAAATCATTTAACGTGTGACATTTTGTACACAAGAATGTATCGAATTGAACAAAGCATAAATAGTTATAGACTCAAAGAAACAAAATATCGACAAAAATATCAAGAGATACTAAATGCAAAATTAAAAAGCAGAAAGACTTTTGAAATAGAAGAAAAATGGAATGAAGTAAAAAATGAGTTGCTGGATGCAGCAGGAAAGACCTGTGGAACCATAGAAATAAAATAAATAATTAGAGGGAAAACAGATACAATGAAACTTGAAAATTAAGGAGCATACAAAGAAAAATGCAAAAAAATAAAGAAAGTAAAACAAGAAAAGTAACACTTAAACAGCTAAAACAAGAAAAGGAATGTAGTATGACTAACACAAAAGATAAGGGTGATAATATAATCACACATAAAGAGAAAATATTGGACAGGCAACCTTTCCAAGAGTTGACGCAGGATGATGTAGATGACGAGGAAGAACCTGAGGAGCAGAATGATTCACAGGAAATCGAAATAATACAGCAAGAAGAATTATCAGGAGCCATATGAAAGGCAAAATCAGGAAAAGCATCTGGAATAGAAAATACATACATATAACCTCCAAAATCATAAAATATATGGAAGAAAAAGGAAGAAAATAATTAAACAAGCTAATGAATGAGATAATACAAAAAATGAAGATACCAAAAATTGGAAGTCAGAGACAAGAGAACTGCAATAATTATGAGAATATCACACCATTGAATATCTCCGGAAAAATCTTGCTAAGAATCATGGAAGGAAGAATTATCTGCGTTTAGAAGGGGGAAAAAACTTAGAAAAAAAAAAAACAAATATCTTATATTGAGGCGCAATAAAAATTACAACAGAAATGTACAAGGAGAACACAAACATAGTCATAACGAACAAGGAGGAATCAAAAGAATGTAAAACGAGGATGGGAGTGAAACAATAATCAATAGAATTTGACGAAGCGTTAAAAAAGTGGACGAGTCGCGTGTTCCAGGCAAGATCAAGAAAGGAAAACGAAGACAAAAAAGAAAAGATTGTATTAAGAAAATTGCGGAAAGAAGGGGCGTAGCGTGGGAAGAAATTAAAAACATGACTGAGGAGCGAATGGAGTGGAAGGAAAGTTCCAAAAACACTTAAATTCAACTTCACTCACCTTACACTTGACGGTATAAAACCAAACAGCTTTTGTTAAATTTTGGGTTAACAACTAAGTATATGAAACCGTTAATATTTAAACAAGTTTAACCATAAAATTAGATTAGAGCCTAAATGGTTTTGGACCATTTAAAAAATCGAATTGAAAATGGATACCATCATTTTCACCAGGTCAATTCTACCAAGACGAAACATTCACGGGATGTAAAAGTAGGACGCAGTGATGAAGTTGATGTAGATCTTTTTAAGCATTTGATTGTTTAAGATTTATCTTTACTCATCAGTACTATTCGATTACAAATTTTAATTACACTTTTAAGGTTTCGTATCTACTGATAGTTTTTCATCTTTAACTACATACGAAAATATTGGCTTAGTTACAAAATACTAGAAACACCATTATTAACTTTGTGAATGTACGTTTTTGAAAATTATTCAATATTACGCAACCAAAGTTTACGGTTTAACATAGAAACTACGAAAAACTGATTCAGTATTATTGAAAAATATATTCTAACACATCAATTTGGTATTTTTTGGGTAGGTAGATTTGCGGTTAATGGAAAACTATTTATAACTACACGTCGCAATAATTTACGAAAATTTCTTATAACTTTGAATTTATTTCATTAAAAATTTTATGTCGGGATGTATTTGTTTGCAATGCGGTTTATTGTTCTGAATTGCCTCAAGAACAAACATGGAATACAACTGCGGCACTAAGTGTTGCTTAGAAGCTTGGAACCACTCGAAAGAAATAAACGCGAATAACCACAAACTGCCAAGCCTTAAATGGAATGGAAAAAAGAAATAAATATAAAATAACAACGAATCCGCAAAATGAAAGAGAATATATCATAAAACAAAAGCAAAATATCCATCATCTTATCATTCCAGACGCCCAATTTAAGTTTCGTTATTTGCGTAATAGGTGATCATAGTCGCTAGAGTAAATTTATACTGTAAGGGTTAAATTTATACACAGATTGTGCCTGATTTCTATTTGTTCTGTACTAAATACGTAGGTAAATAGTACATGTATTCCACACAGGCAGACATGTTAGGTCAATATTTTAATAGGTAACTTCACAGTGCTGCTTTCACTACTGTTATCAAAGTCATTAAATAATATTTTCTTTCAAATCTGAGACATAAACGTTCATTAACAGTGTGTGTACACCAACGTAATTATTAAAGTGAAAGTTTCGCGTAAATTTTAAAATTTGTTTTTTAAACGATAAAAATATATTCATATTCAACCTGTTCCACAATTTGGGTCAAACTGACATTTTTATCGAATCTGTTTCATTTTTCTTGTGTTTATATTTTGTGCGTGTATTTATAATTATCCGTTTCTTTTGGCACAATACGATTGATGGAGCTTTATTAATTTTTTGCGATTCAGGACAAAGTTAAAATCTAAAACAGGTTTCCCTGAGAAGAGCATAAAATCTTAGTAAAAAGCCAGTATGAAATATTTATTTTTAGTTTCATTTTAAAAAACTTAAACATGCTTTCATATGCATTAACAAACGAGTATTTATCTGACTTCTTTTGCGATCTTTACGCAGCGCATTTGCATGAATGTTTAAATAAAACAAACACTGAATAAAAAGTTGTGACTCTCGTAGAGCACCGGTAGAAATATACCACAAAAAAGGATAATACATACAAATAAATTGTAATCCCTAGTCCTGAAAACTCATGTTGTTTATATCCGCAGAAACACAAGAAAATTATAAATAAGTTTCAGTTGTTTAGCGCCAAAGTTGGACATTCATGGTATCGATTGGAACAGATTTCAGTTTATTTAGTGCTTTAGCGACAGGAGTAAATAAATATATTAATCGTGTCCCAAAAAAACAAGAAATTTATGGAGTATGTTTTAGGTAGAGTTTTTCTTGTATTGGAACTTGACCCGATATATGGCTTTAAGGACAATCGGTTTTTTGTTATCCCGTCTCGTCTGGCTAATTTTGCACTCAGTGTCTATTGGTTTAAACTCCGTTCAGGGGTAAACAAAATCATCGTTTTTTTTTCAATGTAAACGTATTTTCAAATAAGAGGTTGTTTATTTCATTTACGTGTTAAAACGTGTAACATAGTACACATTTTACACATGTCGATTCCGTATTCAAAAAAGAGAAAACTGTTGTTAGATGCAAAGAATTTAGTTAATAGTTTTCAGTATACAGTATTATGATAAAGTATACAATTCATAAAAAGCGCAGAATTTGTTTTTGAAAAAAAAAAAAAAAAACAAAAACATGTCGAGCCTTTCATTTTACTTATCTTTTGACATATGTCAAAAAAAATTTGCGACAAATTGGTAAAAGTTATGTCGAGTTAAATGTAGAGATACTGAATTTGTCGGCGGGTGAACTGAGCTTAAGATTTGAACGTGTTATTGCAGACGATGACTTGATAAAAATTTTTAAGAGTTTAGCCGTTTCCACAAATTAAAATTTTCCGTTCATGTAAAAACGCTTTAATTAGTAGTTAACAAGAAAAACACTAATGACGTTATAAAAAGCTAAATGCTTACGTGGCCCTCATTAAGAAGCTTTACGCAATTTTCCTGAAATTCACATTTATCTTCTAATTTTTGTGTCAAGTAGTATTAATACGTTTTACGTCAGGTTGGTAGTGGAACCCTCACAGTGCTCCTCCCATATTTACGTGTACTTTCTGGCTGCATTGTTGACTAATCAATTATGTAAGGACGCCAGATAATAGCAGCAACGTTTCGTGGAAAAAAGACGAAAAAAACGCCCCCGCTAATCCCAACCTCAAACCGCCCCCATTTACACAACCAATTTGCAGTGGTCGTCTGCTCATTATTCAATTTGATCTAGTGCTTGTTAGGGAGCGTTATAAGAAAACTTGTTTATGTGTTTGTAGCATCTATCGATCGTCTGTTAAAAAACCCATTTCCTCGTTTTCCAAACCAATTAAAGTCTGACTCACACTGAACCAATTATTCGTCTCTAATAGCTATAACACGAATCGCTCAAAAAGGGCAAATTTCCTAAATCCATATTACGAGGCCATTTCTCACTTAGGGGAAATAAAAATCCAGAAAAATATAACAATTTTTAATCGACAAGTTGAGCGACGCAGTCGGTGTTGGTTATGGCATGCAGCAGGGCCTCTTTGACGTAGGTTTCCAGTACAGGTAGAGCTTTCTGACGCAGATGTCCGATCACCCAAGACTTTAATTTAGAGGTGAGCCAGCTGAGCGACGCCAAGCCGGAGATGTCGATGTCTATGTCTCTGTAACAAAGAATATTGTTGAATGACGGATCAAATTAAAGAGTGGGGAGTAGCACGTGATCGAAGAGGTTTACGTTGTTGTGATGAATGGACACAATTACGAACGTGTTGACGAGATTAATTGACACGTGATCTTGATGAATTCCCGGGTGTAATGAAGCATCACATCCTCTGCTTACAGGATAACGCAATCCTTTTAAGTTTATTGAATCTAAAGCTTATTGATGGTGCTAATTTCCTGACGGGGGGGAATAAAATGAGTTTCGTGATGTGCTTGTTTAGCAGTTGTCACCAAAGAACTGCTGTGTAGTTGTGCTTAAACTAAAGAGCATTGTCCGGATTTGTTTTTGGGTATGGATAAAAGAGTGTTACTAAGCGAAACGGACGGTAGTAATTCTTGTACAATTCTGTTAAATTTATGTGAAAGAACAGTTTATTAGTGCAGTTATAACTATTGTTTATTTCGAACATCAAAATTTAGTTAAGAGAAATGACACTCAATGGAAAAGGAAGCCCGATCTTTTCTTAAAAGCCATGAAATGTTAGACAATCGTCAAAGTTACGTTACCAACCAGCTTACGCTGGAAAGTAAATATTAACTCTTTATTATATGTAGAACATTTGTAAAAAACTAATTATTGTACAAAGATTTCTTGTTGACTTGTGGCTGAATGTGATAACTGATAAGAATGTTCTCCGTAATTTATTAGCTTTTATTGTAAACATTGGACAAATGAAGCTGTCTTCAGAGCTATGAGTGTAGACCTGATTCGATATTCTGATATGATTTCCTAAAGAGAACTGACTTTAAATTTTGATTAATCTTCCATAATTCTCAAGGTATTCAAAGCTTTTTGCTTGGTTACAGTTTGAAAGAAAGACTAAACCTTAATGTTATTGTTTAAATTTTGTTTTACTACGCTACTTCAACTAAGATATATAGTAGAAGACAATGTGACAAATTTAACCAAGAGCTACGGAACGTTGAGAAAACATGAAATTAATCATTTGTTATTTTACAATAATTTCCGAGTATACGAACACGGAGTCAAATTTTTCATAAACGGGATTGGGGCATAGTAACATCTTATTAAAGAAAATCTATCTGTTTTAAAATGACTATACAGAGAAATCTTGATTTATGGAATACGAATTTAGTAAGACACTTGTAGAATTAACATATGTATTTGGTTCCGAACCTTTTTTTTAATTCCTCAACTTCTATTGCATTGAAAATTTAACTCTTCCAAAATGATTTTCTATACTGGAAATCTGGGTGTTAATAATATTGCGTGGAATCTACACTTGATGATTATGTTAAGGCTTACATCTGGTTTGGTTTCGTGTTATCTTAAATGCATGCGGGACCGCAGTTTCAGAAGTTGCAATTTACAGATATGAGATATATCGCTTTAAAGAAAATATATTTGTAATTAATAAACTGGAGCCCAATTTATATTCATGTCTATTATCCATTCACGATATTTATATAGTAAAATTGGGTTTGATATTTTTTCTTTAAGTTGGATAAACTAATTTGATGATTTAGTGTGCGTGATGTTCGACGTCCCGCATGCTGTTGAATGCGCCAAGGTCATCAAAAAGGTTATGAGTGCAAAAAATGTATTTACAGCACATTATCAACGGGAATATATTACATCTGAGGAATGTCACGTAGACAGTTGTTTGATTTGAATGAGTTTATCGCCCCAAAACACATGACTAAAATTAATCATAAGCCTTCATTGAACAAAATATTCTGAATGTTATTATTATAATTATTACCTTATCATTATTTTATTGTTATAAAGACGAGCGTATTCTCACATTTTCCAGAAAATGGGGTGGCTCGTTCTTAATTTGATCAATAATAAATTGACTGATTCTTTAATTTTTTTGAGTCACCTGTTTAAGCAAATCTTAAAAATAGAAATGGAATGATTAAAGTCTGTTCATATTTTGCATGTAGCAAGCGAAAACCAACGGGGAAGACCTGCAACGACAAATTTGGCAACTTAATGAAAAAAACGAATATTTCACTGTTGATACTCTTTTGGCATATTCTAGGGAACAGTTGGAATTTAAAGGGGGGCGAACCACATTATACAAAATTCTTAAGTCAATGGGTTATAAACACAGGGAAGTAAGTAGTCGCAAAATTCTATGTGAACAAAAACATGTCGTTGCAGCCAAAATTACTTTTTTGAGAACATATTTACAGTTTCTAAATTCTTGTGAAAATTTGACTTTCGTGTAATTGGATGAAACATGGATCTATCAAAATGGTTCGTCCATTCGTCGCTGGGTGCACGATACTGATCTAAAAAGAAATCCCACCAAAATTAAAAGTGAAGGATCAAGGTTTATTCTCCACGCGGGTTGTTCAAGGGGTTCTTGGATGGTTGTAACAATTTTTTAAATTCAAAAATAACGATAGAGACTATCATAAAACGATGGACGGGACAATTTTTCAGAATTGGGTGGTTAATCAGCTCATTCCTGCTTTGGCAAAGTTGAACCAAAAATGTGTGGTGGTTTTAGACAATTCACCGTATCATTCGGTTCAGTTGGATAAACCACCCACTTTTTCTAGTAAAAAATGTGAAATGCAGGAATGGCTCTTTAAACATAGTGTTGAATTTGACAAAAAAATTTCGAAGAAACAGTTGTGGGATTTAATTAAACCCTTCAGAAACAATAGAAAAAAAAGACGAGACATTAAGAGAAAGTGGCCATGAAGTTCTTGGATTACCTACCTCCGTACCATTGTATATATAATCAAATTGAAATGGCGTGGGGATTTTGTAAGAACTATTACTACAAGCATATAAATTCTCAACCTTCATTAAAAAATAGGGTGGAGAATTTATGGCTTGAGGCGCTTTCTAAATGTACTCCAAACATGTGGCAATATTTTTGTAAACATTGTGAAAAACTTATTTTGGCAGATTAGGAAAAAAAATATGGGAAATCTTTCGTACGAATCTATACCTCCTTTCATTATTTCGCTAGGTGAATCTGATTCAGAATCTGAATTTGAAAATGACGGTGATGATACAAATTTTCATAGCCAAATAATGGAACTGTAGCTTGTCGGGGGGTGATATTTTTACGCATCTTTCGTTCTAAATTTACCAAGGTAGTATGTGAAAAACTACCTGACCTACAACAAAATAAGTATAATTTTAGTTAGATCATCCACGTTGTTACTTTGCACCAAATTTTAAGAATTTTCATTTTTTTTTGTAACTCTTCATGGACCTGGAGAAGGCGCATAGTAACGTTCTTATTAATAAGCGTTTGGAAGTACTTAATAAAAGCAAATAAAGAGCATTTACGTAGGCATTAGTAATAGCTATATAGATAAATCATTCAATTTAATGCCGGAAAAATGTTTCAGAAGAGCTAAACCCATCAAAGCACTAGAGCAAAGTTGTTGTCTTTTACCAACCCTTTCAGTAATCTTAGAAAAGTGAAAAAAGAAGTTGGAAGATATGGAAATAGGCTGTTCACAAAGGTCCAAATTTCCATTTCTAAGAAGAATGGGCGAGCAGAATGTAGAACCCCCACTCATATAAAAACAATGTTTAAGTGAAATTTTAGTGTTTGTTCCTTACATATGAAATAAACACTTACAAAAAGCCGAAAAACTGTTTTAAATAGCGTAAAGTTTTATGCTTTCTAAGAAATGGATACTTTCTAAGAAATGGATACCGTTAACTTGGTCCTTGCTACTGAAAACTGAAAGCATCGGCAACAATGTTTATATTTCTGGCATATTTTTTAACCTTTAATTTAATAAAACGTAACCTAACGAAAAAAGTTCGGGGAATTTTTATTCTTCTGCATTGAATACGAACAAACTCACTAGATTTTCATGGCCAACCCTACTATATAAAGATCGTGAACGGATAACAGTGAGCAGTTTTTTCTTATAAAATAATATAAACTCGACTAATTTTACCAATTTTTAGACCACAATAAAAGGACGCGTTCATGCATTTTTTAAGGACGTGCTGCAATTTTTTGAGTTCTCAGATAGGAGATAGTCCGAAAAAAAGTGTCAGATTTCATGTGACACCATTTATAAGCCTAACAAATCCGCAATTGTGGTAAGTAACTCCGGAAACCTTGTGCTTTCACTTGAAAAACCCTCCTAGAAAACTTAGTAACGCGACCAAAAGTTTTAGCATGTATGCAAATGCCTATGACCAGTGTTAAAAAAAGGCACTGTATAATAATGTCCGAAATGTCGTAAACTCCCTACGGTACCGCGTCAATTCGTCGTGCACAATTCGTCGCGCGACAATTGATCGCAAACAACTGATCGCAGCGTCAATTGGTCGCAGCGACAACTGGTCGCAACGATAACTGGTCGCAGTCACAATTGATCGCAACACAATTCGTCGCAAGTACAACTGGGGGTCGATTCTCGAACTCGTTCGCAAAGATGCGAGTACGAATAGATGCGCATGCCAAGATGCTATTCGAAACGAAAATCCGTCGTCTTGAACGAGATCCAATGCGAATAGCAACTCAATGCGCATACGAAGGCCTCTGTTCGAGTGAGGATATGGCAACAGCGGCGAAATACAGAGGATATTTAACTGCGATGGTTGGCAGAATTCACGCGGGGTGAGTTTGAATCCAAGAAGGACTATTTTAATCTGTTACCTCCAAATTTATTAAGCAGCAAAACACGTATTAGCAGGATTGACTCGATTTAAATTATTGCTTTAAAGTATTATTGTTTTTTTTAGTTTTCTTTACAGTTTGGAATATGCAATGCATATTACGGCCCATTTAATGCAAATTTATATCAAAATAAGTTGAACTTTAACTAGAATACAATATTTCCAACAAAATGGAACGATAATTCTTTTAAATTGTATTTTAAAGATTATTGGAGTAAATATTATAAATAACACTATCAATTCCATTTTTGCAATGTAAATTACAATAAATTCTCTTTATTGTTCAAAACTAAGAAGTACGACTCA